CAAAAACGGAAAATTTGGGGAAAATCATATTTGAAACCTGCAGTATCAAATTTGATACAGATGATTTAATGTACTATAAAGAATGAGTTACATAATGAAAATGCCATGTAGCAAATATGATACGAATGGCATTATAGGGTTAAATATACGTGAGAGCCAAAAACACAACGTCTGCAACTCTTTCAAAGCACAACGTGCAAAATCCTTTTTTTTCAATGAGAGTCTTGCACTCTAAATAAATAAATAAATGCATCATTGTAGGCACTTGAAACTAAAGAGTGAAACAACTGGACGAATAATGAAACGTGGCATCAGCTACAGCCAAAGTATAAGACATATAATCCAAAATAAATCGAATGTATCTCCTTTTACTGACTCATCATTGTCCCCATCTTTTCAGGGAGTTGAAGACCGCAGACTTTGCAGCCCACTAGTTTTGTTCTTCGGAGTGAAATTCTTGCAAATCGTATGTCAACTGAAAAATACTCCACTCGGTACTGTAGCCACAAGAAGGCGTCAGCGGCTCAAGTCACATGATCAATACAGCTGATGGAGCGCTTCGGAAAGGCAGTATGCCCAAAGGGAGACAACTGAGAATGCCGCAGTGTGCTTATCCTACACGGAACCTTGCCACAGAGGTCAGCGCAACGACTTATTACTTCTATTTTATACATTTCTCTTCCATCGGCCATACCCATGAGTTGATGTGGCGTACCGCTTGGAGAAAATGGAGAAAACGTGTCTTGTGGATGCCAAGGTACGATGCATATTTTATATTACACATGATGTCAGTCAAATATATACTGAAATAAAATTGAATTTCACTGGAGGTAACCCGGAATTTGGATCTCCCTATATTGTTTTATCAGCTTATATGTGGAAGATTTCATCATTGTCGCTGCCCCACAGGTTTCCTGTCTGGAAATGTGTCTGTGCATTCATAAGTCTCTTTGCCACAAACAATCTAAGGCTTGTACCGATACGCATATACAAAAATAAACAGCTGTTATTATGATGTAGAGCAGTTCTAATCCACTGCGAACAACAACCGCCATATTGTTACGTTCATACGTCATACGTCATCCAAACTAAGCATTTTCTTTGTAAAGGCAGATTTTTTTTTTCTTTTGAACAACTCACACTACGTGGGCAGGTGTACGAACCTTCACAGTCAGGCACATTCTGTTCCCTCGTCACGTTGTTTTGATTTAAAAATATTTTTTATCTTCAGTTGACATAATCAGGGTTGGAAATTAACTTTGTTGATCACAAGCCAATGTGGCTGGTGACGCTCTAAAGTTATCAGCTGAAATACAGGCATTCGCACAGCCAATTTGCATATTAAACATCATGATGTAGGCTTCTGGCAGAGTATTTATTGGAACTGTAGGAGTCACTGCCAGGGGGACAAATGGTCGAGAACAAACCGTAGTAGTTGGGCATTGGTTGAATTTGATCGATTCTGGTTCCGATCATCTTTTTGCATATTTCCCAAGAAAATTAAGGTTGTACAACGTTTGCGGTCCTCAATGTGTGGAGTTCTGAATCTGAATCAAAAGCACGCTACCATCTCGAACAACTGACAACACACTTTTCTCCATCTTTCCGAACCTCCAAGAAAATAAAACTGTGTTTTTCCTCTTTGTTTTTACAACAGTTATTACTCCAGCTCTTAGAGAGCCTCCCAGCCCACCACCACCCAAAAAATTTAAAAAACTGCACAAGACGAGAGGGGCTGTAGCACACGCACTTTGTACTTATAAACACAAACGGAAGAAGAACAAGGAGTAAACACACAAGCACTGTTTTATTCATGTTGATGTGATGCTAGTGGACATGCACCCGTGAGAAACACTGCTTTTCTCACCTAACACACACACACACACACACACACACACACACACACACACACACACACCCAGACCCTACACTATAGAGTTCAACACAGGACACCAGATGTTTCCGACAACATCTCTATTTGTTCTCGTTGCTCATTATGCCCCTCAGAGAGCCAGGTTGTTGTTGGTTTCTTTTTTTTCTTTTCTTTCTTTGAACATTGGTGTTATGTTTGTCACAAGGCAATTTTCACAGATTCTTCACTAAACTTGTTCGACGGGTGGAGCACGCACCATGGCAGGAAGCCTTTAAACCTAAGGGCAGTTTCTAAACACACAGCACAACACACACACACACACACACACACACACACACACACACACACACACACACACACACACACACACACACATTTTGTTACTTTCAGATCAGTTTGCTTTGTTGTGAACTGCTCCAGAGAGGGAACACAAACTAATTCTTTCCATTGGAAATTCCCTCAGGAAAGAAAAAGCTGTGACAAAATCGGCATTCAAGCAACACTTTTGGGATGGATAAAAAAAGTCATCTGTTGCTGGGGAAGTGTGTCTAAGGGTGCTAATTGCTTTTGATTCTGAGTCATATTTGTGTGAAAGAGTTTCCTGTCCATGGCTTAATCGGTGGGTGTTAGCATGAGACACTTTGAAGCGGTTGAGTACATCATTTTGTTTTGTCAAACTTTTCCAGACTTATGCAAGCTGAATGTCGGCAAAGCGCAGACTATGACTAGCTTTGGTTTGGTCACCAGCTACAGGGCACAGAAGGACAAACACTCATACTGATATTAGTATCGAGACACTATTTGATCCCATCTTGCTTGCTGTGTGCGCCTCGACATTATCGACTACAAAAAATCTCACCAAAAAATAACTCAGAGGCCACCTAACTTTCCAGATGTCAAAAAAACAATCGTTCTGTTTATTACGCCAGCTGTAATAAAGCTCCTGCAGAGCTCCAATGGAAACTATAAATAAAAATACCCAGAACCCAAAACAAAACCTGGCAACTCCCGTTACACCTACGAATTCCCACCACTGTCAGTTTCCGTGTCTGTATACAAAACAAGAATCCCAAAGGAGCGCAAGGGTACGGCGATGCCACAGAACGAGGCGGGCTTTAAGTGGCCATTTTGTTGTGCTTGTAACGTTTACTACATCTGGAGTCTCTACCGAGATCAGTCTTGGAACGGAAGCCAACATGTGCGACCTATAAAGCCGCTGCGTAAATTCATTTGTTCTCCTTCACTTCTCGCCAGATTGGCTTTTAAAAAATGCCGTGCACTTTTCAAGTGAACCGGCAAAGTGGATAGAAACAATCTCACTGTCGTTTGTGAGAAGGATTTGCTTTTGTCCCAACACCAACAAAATACAGATGATCATGAGTAGGGAGGTGGCATGGTTTCGGTGTCCATCTGAAAAGCTGCAGAGGTGGAAGAGGAAAAAAGATTTGGTTGTGAATTCTATCCAAACCAGGGCGAGTTTTGCTTGCAGTGTTTTCACCACCAATATGCTCACATTTATGAGGTGATGTTTGTCCCAAACGCTACACCCCCCCCCCGCCCCCTCCAGTGTTAACACTAGGTACTAATACATCCTAACAGCAAAATCCTCATCAGGCCTGAGGCTTTCCTACAATTGCTCCTGAAAAACAGCACTAATGTGGAAGCCACGTGGGAGATACAGAGTTTGTTACAAAAACCTGCCATGAATTTGTTCCAGCGTAAGCAAAGATGGCCCAGTGATAAAGGTTAAACAATGAGTGAAAGGTTTGATGGTACAGTCACAACATACAAGAAGGCTGAGACTTTTCAAAGAAATGTCATGAAAAAAAAGAATGGGTAACAACTGGCGGTAGATGCAAAATAATGGACAAGGTAAAATAAATTCAAACAGGCCTTACTGTGATTCTAAAGGGAAAATGTGAAGTGGTTGGGATGAAAATCAGCACCTACAAAAATCTTGAGCTCATGGTCCTCAGTTGGTGAGATAAAATACTGGTCCAAGTGGAGGAGTTCAAGTATCTTGTGGGCTTTACAAGAGAGAAAAGAATGGAGTGGGAGTTCAACAGGCGGGTCGGTGCAACGGTGCAGTGATGCGGACGCTATATCGGTCCCTTATTGTGAAAAATTAGATGAGCAGAAAGTCTCGATTTACAGTTTGATGTACGTGACTATCCTCACCTATGGTCACAAGCTGTGGGCCGTGACCGAGAGAACAAGATCCCGGATGCTAGTGGCCAAAATAAGTTTGTTCCACAAGGTTTCTCTTCGAGATAGGGTCAGAAGCTTGGTCTCCCAGGTGGGACTCAAGAGTAGAGCTGCGACTGCTACCACATCGAGAGGAGTCAGATGAGGAGTCATCTCCTCAGGATGCCTCCTGGACACCTTCCTGGTGAGGTGTTCCAGGCACGTCCCACTGCTAGGACACCCCGGGGATGACCCAGGACACACTGGGGAGACTATGTCGACCGGCTGGCCTGGTAACGCCTCGGGATGCCCCGGAAGAGCTGGACGAAGTGGCTGGGGAAAGGGAAGCCTGGGGTTTTCTGCGAAAGCTGCTGCCCCAGCAACCCGATCCCGGATAAGCAGAAGAAAATGGATGGATGGATGGATGGATGGATGGATGGATGGATGGATGGATGAATGAAGGGGAAACAATTCCAGAAATATTATTGAGAATGTTCATAAAAGGTTCATGACTGGAACTGTGTTCGTTTTTTTTTTTAATGCAGAACTCCCAACACTAAATATAGCTAGCAATAGCCATCTTTCATGGAGCATCATTTTCAAAATCATATGTACAAAATTACAGAATGCGATATCTGGAATCAAAATGGCCCAGATGTCACACTCCTACACGATATTTTATGGAAATCAATGCTGTAGTTTTTGCAGCTTTGCACACGGTCATCCCACAGGTCCGATCATGAAGCACGCTTAATTAAAGAGCCCCAGGAGATCCACCGGTGATGCTTCAGAGAAAAGTATTTTATCAGTGTCCATTTGCCACATTCTTACTTCACATTTGAAGACTTCCCAAGAAGGCAGAACGTGGATGGAAAATAAATAAATAAAATCATAAAATAAAAACTTGAAAACAAGCAGCAGATGCAACTCAGACGCAACTCACCTGTGGTCTCGGGTGCCCTTTCACGATGCACTGAAGCACAAGCGTGTCTCCTTCTTTGATAGTGTAGATCCTCTCACTGATGTTATCGTCCTTGACGTTGCACGCGGCACCCGAGTGCACAATCTGGGCGTTGGCAGGAGCTTTGGTGCGTGCACGGGTGGTGAGACAGACAGACCATAGGAAGAAGGGGGAGGAAAAGCATATTATGTAATCAGTAAGATCTCTGAACCGCGAAAAGGTCAAGAACGTTATCTGAACACTGGCGCTTTATCAATACGTCACACATAGAAAATACACAAAAAAAACAATGGAAAGACACAAAGGCAGATTATTTTTGAAGTAGAAATAAGGAACAACTAGTAATTTTGTGTCCAGCTCTGATTATTAACTTTTGGGCCATGAGCAGCTGTGTCAGTGTGAAGAACTGACCACCTCTAATATACAGCAGAACACCAAAGTAAGATAAGATAGATAGATAAGATAAGATAAGAAAACCTTTATTAGTCTCACAATGGACAAAGTAGGTGATTTGGCATCACCGTGGTAATGAAATAGACATTCCATCATGGAAAGGATTTTGCCAAGTAGTTTTAATCTTAGAACAGCATGGCATTTTGTATAACACGAGTATGGCTCCATATGTTTTGAATTACTAAATAATGTGCAAAATTACAATTATTGTCTGACATTTACCTGCTTCCAAAAAGAAACCCATTTGTTTACATACAGTATACAGGTATTATACATCATAACATTACACAGTACTGAATGCTGAAATCTTTTCCTTTCTCCCCGCAATGCTGCTATGCAACACATACCGTACTGCACAGGGTGATTTTGGAATCGACTTCATTACTAATGTATCCCCCAAAGGCTCCCAGTGACCTATGAAGAGCCCTGGCTTGCGAGCAATTAACATCAACTGTCCTCACCCCACTGTGACGAGGGGAGACAGAAGAGAGGAGTAAAGGGGGGGTGGGGGGGGGTAGACAGAGCAAAACAGCGGGCGAGGAGGGAAAAAGGCCAGAGAGGAGCGTTAAACCCCCGGGAGAGTCGTGGGAGTCGGGACAGCACAATGATGTGATTAGAATCGATTCACGCGGAGAACAAATCCTCACCGTGCTCAACAACTGTTATCACTCAACAGACAGCAAGCGAGTGGGCGGCCTGTTCACCTTACAAGTGCAGCTCACATCAGGTATAATGCCGCGGCTCATCTCAAGTTTAAGATTCAACTTCATGTATCTGATTTTCTAAATGGGAAACAGTCGAAACAAAAGTCTAGACAAAATCCTCTTGATTCTATGCCCTTATAATCACGAATGTGTCTTGTAAGAATTTAATAGTACAAAATAATTGCTTGGAAGATCATGTAGTCATGATGGAACTTCCACAATTAAATTGTTTGTGTGTATTGTGCATTCAAGAGTGTGTTTAAGAACAGCCATTCTACACCATTGATTCTCAAAGTGTGGTACGTGGGCACCCTCTAGTAAGAATCATTGCCTTCATACAGTTCAGTTGTATTTAACTTTACGTTCAATGTGAGAAATGAATATTTGCCCAAAATAATTTGGTTACAAACCGTATTTTCCACGCTATAAGGTGCACCTTATATATGGATCAATATTCTGATTTCTTGGACGTAGAATACTAAATGTTCTGTAAAGCGCTTTCTTACAGCTGCCGAGGTTGTGAACGCTCGATATGAATAAAGCTGTATTGTATTGTATTGTATTGTCCACTATTGTACTTTTATCCCACAGCCTTATAATGCAATACACCCTAAATATGAAAACTATTTTAAAATAGGCCATTCATTGCTTGGTGCGGCTTAGTCTCCGAAGTGCCTTATAGTGCAGAAAAATACGGTATTTATATGCAATACAATTTCATTGAATTATTGTTAAAGTACGGTACTTTCTTTCCGATATTTAAGTGCAGTGTCAATGTTCATAATGTTGCAGTAGCAACAGCTTTGTATGCCCTGTGTACACATTATCATGTTCGCAGAACTTCAAGTCCAAGCATCCAAAGGATCACACGATTGAAAGAGCCTTGTGTGCTTGATCTTGGACCAGTGTGGGAATAAGTTCAGAAGACGGCGAGCTGATATGAATGGTGAATAATTGTCTGCTTGAAACTGATTGGCGTGTCTGCATTAGTTTGCCTCTCCAGAGAGGGAGGTTAGATGGACTGGCTCCTCTGTCTGCTCCCGCCTCCGACGGCTTGGCAGCTTCGGTTGTCTGATCGGGAAAAGGAATGACGGCAGAGAGACAGATACGCGGAAGATGGAGCGGGAGGGAAAGAAACGCAAGACAGAGGGATGATGAAGAAAGAGGGATAGGTGGGGGGAAAAAAAATCACTGCACTACACGAGCTTCGGTAAGTTCTGACTGAAAGGTGCAGGCAAATCAAGAGAACCTTGTGTTACACCTCTGATGTACATTTGGTACACCGAAGAAGGTTAAGTGGCATTTTCGGGCACTCTTAAAAACATTCAGTCCAAGTACCATTCCACCATGACTGATCATCATTTGGAAGTGTACCTGCAGCTCCCTGTCTGGACGATGTATCCCTGGGTGAATTTATTCAGTGCAGTGCGAGTAAGTTAAGGCCAAAAAAAAAAAAAAAAAAAAAGGGCAATTTGGGTTCATACCGTAATGCCAGGTACACCAACACATATTGCGCATATATTTAATGAACAGACTGTTTGTGTTGACCCCCAAAGGGAGAAACATTCACCAGAGACAGTTACCTTGATGACTGGGGTGGGAGTATGAACGGTTTTAAAGGGATGGCAGACATGAAAGGGTTCAAAGGAAGTAGCTGGATGCTTGCTGTGAGAATAGTCAGTTTTGCAGTGTACAGTAGAGTGAGATGACTGGTAAAAAAAAAATAGGGGGGAGTAAAGTAAAGCCAAAAAAAAAAAAAAAAAAAGTGCAATTTGGGTTCATACCGTAATGCCAGGTACACCAACACATATTGCGCATATATTTAATGAACAGACTGTTTGTGTTGACCCCCAAAGGGAGAAACATTCACCAGAGACAGTTACCTTGATGACTGGGGTGGGAGTATGAACGGTTTTAAAGGGATGGCAGACATGAAAGGGTTCAAAGGAAGTAGCTGGATGCTTGCTGTGAGAATAGTCAGTTTTGCAGTGTACAGTAGAGTGAGATGACTGGTAAAAAAAAAAAAAATATAGCTTGCATTTTGATAAATAAGTAGATCAACTTAACTTGACCCCTGCTTTAGTGTTTTAGAAACTCGACTGTCCAGAAAAAAATGCAAGCATTAGGAGAACAAACAGAAAAGATCCAAAGTACTTGAATATTAACTAACATGCGCTACAATTATCCCCAAACTCTAAAAACAGTTGGGTCAAAAAGAAACTGATTCTCAATGCGGGTCAATTTGACCCGACTTTCAGGGCTGTTTGTGAAATATGGGTCAAATTGACCCGATTAGCAAATCGGTCCCTTTTGGGTGTAAATATATATTTTTTATAGACCCAACTGTTTATAGTTTGAACCAAAAATTTGCCCTGCAAGTGACTGGCAACAACCCCAGCATGTACTCCACCTCTTACCAAAGGTAGCTGGCGAGTGGCAAATGAAGACAAGTGCTACAGAATATGGGTGAGTGGTTAAGAAATGTGTGTCTGACAGTCTGAACTGGGACCGAATCTTATGTAGTGCTGTCACATTGTGAGGACTACATTAAGCAAAGGTCCCTCTTGTGAAAACGCTGCAAAATCTCTTCCCGCTTGCACCGGTGAGGTGTTCTGTGCTGTTCAGACTTGCATCAATTGAGTTAGCATGAAACACGACTTTCAGTCTTCAGAAGGTGCTGCTCAAGCAGGAATCCATCCAACTGTGATGATCCATCGATTAAAAAGAAAAAAAAAAGTCCCCTGGGACGCTGATTGAATGTGTTGCCGCCACATGGTTGAAAACATTCAAGGGGGGAGTAAAGTAAAGCCAAAAAAAAAAAAAAAAAAAGTGCAATTTGGGTTCATACCGTAATGCCAGGTACACCAACACATATTGCGCATATATTTAATGAACAGACTGTTTGTGTTGACCCCCAAAGGGAGAAACATTCACCAGAGACAGTTACCTTGATGACTGGGGTGGGAGTATGAACGGTTTTAAAGGGATGGCAGACATGAAAGGGTTCAAAGGAAGTAGCTGGATGCTTGCTGTGAGAATAGTCAGTTTTGCAGTGTACAGTAGAGTGAGATGACTGGTAAAAAAAAAAAAAATATAGCTTGCATTTTGATAAATAAGTAGATCAACTTAACTTGACCCCTGCTTTAGTGTTTTAGAGTCTTCAATGCACAGAAAATGCCTATTTTCGGATTTTGGGAGGAAACAAGACTGTCCAGAAAAAAATGCAAGCATGAGGAGAACAAACAGAAAAGATCCAAAGTACTTGAATATTAACTAACATGTGCGACAATTATCCCCAAACTCTAAAAACAGTTGGGTCAAAAAGGGACTGATTCTCAACCTGGGTCAATTTGACCCAATTTTCGGGGCTGTTTTACGAAAGGTGGGTCAAATTGACCCGAGTAGCAAATCGGTCCCTTTTGGGTGTAAATATATATATTTTTTTTATAGACCCAACTGTTTATAGTTTGAAACAAAGATTTGTTGCCCTGCAAGTGACTGGCAACAACCCAGGCATGTACTCCACCTCTTACCAAAGGTAGCTGGTGAGTGGCAAATGAAGACAAGTGCTGCAGAATATGGGTGAGTGGTTAAGAAATGTGTGTCTGACAGTCTGAACTGGGACCGAATCTTATGTAGTGCTGTCACATTGTGAGGACTACATTAAGCAAAGGTCCCTCTTGTGAAAACGCTGCAAAATCTCTTCCCGCTTGCACCGGTGAGGTGTTCTGTGCTGTTCAGACTTGCATCAATTGAGTTAGCATGAAACACGACTTTCAGTCTTCAGAAGGTGCTGCTCAAGCAGGAATCCATCCAACTGTGATGATCCATCGATTAAAAAGAAAAAAAAAGTCCCCTGGGACGCTGATTGAATGTGTTGCCGCCACATGGTTGAAAACATTCAATGCACATTAGTCACATGTGGAACATAATTTATCTGCAAGTAGTCACTCTGATTAATTGAG